AGTTTTTAGCTCATTTTCAGCCCAGTACCCAAGCAAAGCACTTAGCTTGGACTTATAAATCAATCTGACGTCAAGCAAGAAATGAGTCATTTAACATAATGCAGACAGTTTAACAAAGAACCTGTTCTTAATGGGATCTTTAGGCATTTAGTTACCACCCTGTCAGGAAGTCCCAGTTTGCTGCCATTTCCTCAGCTTTGTTTGAACATGAAAAAATAACAGTTTAAAAGCACCAGCAGAGTAATTCACTGAACTACAGCTAATTATGCAGTTGATCAATAAAAGGACAATGCATTCTTCAGGTATTGTGTCAGGTCTTTGATGTTTTGGCACTTCTTTGTCCATCACTTGTCCAATATTCTCACATTTTAAGCTCAAACTGTACAATATCTGATACTGATCTGGGAGGAGTACTGGACAGTAAAACAATACAATACAATCTGACAAAGTCCAAAGAAAAGCTTTAGCAGAAAGCCAAGAAAAACTTTGATCAGAACAACTTTAAGAGGTTAAAAGAATGCCCGGTGGCCTGCAACAAATAGTAACTTAATTAGGGGGCAATTTACTTTTGTGCACAGTCTATCTGTCCGTGTCAAACCGACAGCAGACGTGTCCTCACACCTAAAATAACCCCATAAACTAAATCAAGAAGAATAACAGCACATACAGGCTAACTGGAAAAAGTGTGTCAATGACTGAAGACAAACTTGTGCTCTGTGTGTGTGCGCCTTGCATGTGTTGCACAGCTGTTCAGTCTGCACACACCTGCACATTCCTTGCAATTGCTCTGCTGCTGGACACCACAATGACAGTGAGCTGCCCTCAGAGGTCTTTGGATATCCAGTGTAAATCCGGCCTAGTGGAGCAGGGGGGAGGGGGGAAGCTAATAATATGTTATTGCAGACTAGGTCCCCCCTGTCGCCCCTCCATCAGAGCACCACTGTCACCTTACACATGGACCACGGTGTGATAATGGACAATAATGTGGAGGAGCTGAGAGTGAGAACTCCAATCTGCCTCCTGAGTGGTAAAAGTGCTGAGAGGAAAGTACAGGCCGGATGCTGCGGACCAGCTTCTGACTGTGAGGCTGCGTGTCATCCTGTCATGAACCGCTGGGCCCCTCTTCCACTGGCTGATCATACCACTGTCTATTTTCATCAATTGTAAAGGTTCAGTCTTCAGTGAAGAGTGGAGGGGGAGAGGGGAGTTTGTGGTCTTTCTTTTCAAATTGCATTTCTTTTCCACAGAGAAGTACGCTTAATTGATGAAACCTACTCTGCTGCAGCTTTGTTTTTGTTATTACCATTTTCTTGGCATCCAGAAATGTAAACCAGCTACACACTGAGGACCATTGCCTAATTGTTTCATCATGATGTGTTTATTCATATTTAATGCAGAGGCATTTTCTCCTGCACAACACGGTCATTAGTGGGAGCATCAAGAAGAAATAAATACCTAAGTCTTCTGTTGAATCTCTCAAAGAGAATCTCAAATCATGACTGACTTCAGGCATGTTTGCAGTTAGTTAAAGCACTGCTGCACACAAACCCATGAACTATTGTTATGGTTTCTTTGCTTAGAACAAAGTTTTGTAAAATATCTTAACTGCAACAACTCGGTTTTCCAACCTAAACATATTAAATATGCTTCCTTTGATCAGCCTGGTGTTTATGGTTTCCCTGCAGAGAAATGTTAAAACACTCACAACAAGAGCAGGAGAAAAACAGTGCAAATGTAAAAAAAAAAAAAAAAAAAAAAAAAAAAAACTTTAAGCCAGAGTGAGGCCTCTACTGGCAGACGAGTGCAACGTCACTCCTTTGACCATGAGCTTATTAGCAAAGAAGAATTGTTGCATATCTTCATCCTCTGAGGTGTTTTAAAGGAGCTTGCACATACCGTAGATATACATTTTACATTTACTTTAGGGCAAATATAATTAAATTTCCCTGCAGCTCCACATCATTAATAAAAGCTTTGTTATTAACATTAAGAAAAAGTTATCGCATTAAGCATCACAGCAGCTTCTACATTCATCAGATTAAAGTATGTTTACCTCTGCAAATTGCATTCTGCCTTTCTAATTGCAATTACTGTACGACTGAAAGGGCACAGGGGCATTTTATTTTCTGTCTGATGATTGAATTCTTGACTCCTTATAGTTGTTTTTCTGGTGCACAGCCACAAGCTTTGTGATTTCTCCAGCCTCGTGGGACCAATTCCCATTATTTACTTGACTATGACCCCGTATCATGACCTCTCGAGTCTCTCATTCTGGAGGAACCTACTTTCAAATCGCTCATCTAATGGCGACCTGCATTTTTTTTTTTTCTTTACTGGACTGTAATGAATGTTCCAATTATGCTGAAGGTGATGAAGGCGATTTTCCTATAATAGAGAAGGTGATTGGATCTCACACACTCCATTTCACTGTCTCTTTTCCTCCCCTGCTCTTCAGGCATTCCGACGGACCCGTGGTCACCAACTTGCTTTTGGGGTGGAAGTGAAGCCTCCTCTTGTGGTAATGCCTCCTCTCGGAGCCCTGCCGAGCCATGCAATGGTCAGGTCCCTGTGGAATTAAGTGCTCGAAGTAAATGTATTCATTTTGGGGCAAAAATGTGCCAAATGACCTGTCCGCTTCTCGTAATGCTTGGTACATGTTACTCCGGAGAGGCAGCCCTGTTGTAAATACTTGTCAAAGAAAAACGGTAGCTAATTGAAATCATTTGCATGTGTAAGGGTGAAAAAGATCCTTCTTCCTGTGTCATAGCCTGTGATAGGGGTCGATAGATATTTGGAGAGTAAAGAAGAGTCAGGTGATAAGAACTCCGGTCATACTGTGCTAAATGACTGCCAAAGCGCCATAAAACCAATTCAAGGGCAGATGAGTATGAGGGCAAGGAGAAGCGGAAAGAGATGAGGGGGAAAAAGGCATTGTCCCCAGTGAGCTGCATTCTGACAGCAGTAACGACAGTCACTATCCTTAGAAATTGCGCCGTTTTGGATCATTCAAGGCTGGGCACATTTTTCATTTTTCCACTCCCCCCACCCCCCTCCCAAAACCCCCTTTACTCCTTCTGATTAAAAGGTTGTTTGTGGGAAACTCAAGAGTCTCCTTGGAGGTGGCATCCTCCTGCTTGACTGAATGTGGGGCATTTCACCCAGCTCTCCGCGGCTCGAGAGAAGGGAGCTTATCCGACGGCAGAGGCTTGCTTGTCTGCCTGCCAGGGAGGGATGTGGCTTTAAGAGGGCCATACATGCTGTTGATTAGTTTCACCGAGCTCGTATGCAGAGACCAATAAATTAAATATGAATAAATTAAAAATGTACTCTAGCAGAAAATTGCTTGGAAAACAACCACCTCCCTATTAAAATATGTATAGTAATGCCTTTTATGTGAAGTAACTTGGGATTAGATATCACTGTAAATTAACACACCACCCAACCGTAGTCGAGAACTTTTCACTTTTAACAAGGACTTATAAAAGAGGTATTTACTCCAGTGTGTTCAGTAATTAATTTGATATTCAAATGAGGTTACAGTATGCATTATAATTGCAAATATCCTAAATAAGAGTAGTTTTAAAAAAGGGGGGTAGTGTCAACAAAGATTGATGAGGCTTGCTTTGAAATCGCCATCTGTTTCAAATGTTTGCTTGACGTAAACGCAGCCCCTCCCTTTTTCTTTTTCTTTGGGAAAAAAAAAAAGGCATGGTGGATCGTAGCCATGTTTATATTTAGTTGTTTTGTTCTTTAGAGAAGAGGGGGCCCCAAATTGCAAGGCGTTTCTGTCGCTGACGGGGATCAGCAACATCAGGGTGTATGATTGATAATGTCTCTGCAACGTTTCCATGACATTGTAGCCATGTTAGCTCATTACCACAATGTCATAGCAGCAGTGTGAGGATGTTGTGTTGGGGTGACGGTAGTCGATGGTGGGGAGGGGAGGGTGTGTGTGTGTGTGTGTGTGTGTGTGTGTGGGGGGAGGGGGGGGGTCAGCTGCAGGTATCGGGCCTCTGCAGATGAGCTGATTAATTAAAGAGAGCTCTATTAGGTTATGGAGATGCACTCCCCTCCTCCTACTTGCCGCCTTCAAGCAGTTCAGCACTCACTGGATAAAGGTGGAGGAAGCCAAGAGGGGTGCGCAACAAAGGGAGGGGAAGCATCCTTGCCTCTTTTGACATTAGCTTGTGCACACTTATTTCCACAACTGTGTGACTCTAGCCACAAGTGCCCCTCTGCTCCTCACCATTGCAGGGAGTGACACTGTGCTTAGGCTCCAAAAGAGGGCTGCAGAGTTTTAATCCCTTCACCCCGTCAATCCACCCACCCATACCTCCATCTGGCAGGGGCTCTGCTAGAGGAAAAGAGTGGGAGGGCTTTTAGGGGTGTGGGCGAAGGGTGGCGCTGGGATTGGGGGGAAGCAATCGCATCCCTCGTTCCATCCCGACGAATTTTCTAATTTCCTTTGCCTCCGTGCTTTGTCCTAAATTCACGCCCCTAACCTATCCCACCATACAGCCTCTCATGTGGCCCCCCTCGTTATCTCCCACCTCTGTTGTTGTTTTGGCACACTGAGGAACCAAATAACTGGAAGCTAATGTTTACCTGCTTCAATATGCGCAGACAGATTTTTGAATCTTTACAATTTTGAAGTTGGCACAAAAAAAAAAAAACTAAAATGTTCCCATGTGTGTTAGGGTTGGGCATAGAAATGCCCAACCCTAACACACACACGCACACATACACACGCGCACACGCAAGCATTTTTTAGACATTTTGCTTTGAAAAAAAAAGAGGAAAAAAATGAATATAGGACAAGAAAATGGTGAGCATGTAGAGAAATGCCATCTCCACTAGAACACAATTGGCCCAACAAGTGACTATGTAAATAGATTTTATGCAAATGTGAAGTACGTTTAACTAACTACACAAATCACTATTTGTGTGCTTTTTGTTAAATTCTCAAATTATTTAAAAACAAAATTACAAGACAGCACTCGACAGGAGTCGCGTCTTAACTTTATTTTAACTGCATGGACCGTCGAGGTGTAAGCATACAACATATTAATTAGAGACAGATTACATGGAAATCACATTTTTTAATGGGCAGTGGCTCAAGCACTCAATTCTAATTACACATCCTCATGCTGAAAATTAGGTAGCTTTAGGTACAGCTCAAATTAATGAATTCAGCAACTAAATACAGCTCCATCTGCTGTTTTATGGCAATCTGAGTAAACCAGAGACATTCAGCGTGTCAGTAACGCCGCAGTAGCAGAGCAGTCCTTTTTGTTTTTTTTGCTTTTTTTTTGGCAAGCAGCTTTTATCAACAATCGCTTGTGTCCTAAAAAACATAAATATAAAACTGATCAGGCTACATTCTCACATGTGCACTAAAACATAAAGCCTGTGGAGGAACACGGGCCCATTGTTGGCACTCATTCACTTCAAGATGCAAATGGGTGGATTTGAAATTCACCCTCTGTGTGTTATGCTTGGATACGTTAATGTTGTATCTGTGCTGGGGATTATTCTCTCTACAGCGGGGGGAAAAAAAAAAAAAAAAACCTGTGCTTGAATGGCAGTGCCCTCAAAGTAGCTGCTGCTGCTTTCAGTGGCCTCCAAACGAGATTAGACCCGTGGCTGCCCTCAGTCCCAATCCTCTGCATTTAGATGGAGCGTAACCAGCCTGTGTGACAGTTTCTCTGTTTTGACACTGAGTGGGTGCAGTCACTGCATATGCAACGCTTTGGGATTGAGAGGTCAGAGCACAAAGGGAGCAAAATCCCTATTGCATAGTTCGGTGTTGTGAAATGATATCCAAACTAATCGTTTGTGTTCTGTTTTAGTGTCCCTGCAGTTAAATATGTAATTCTTAAAACACAAATCAAGCCCTGGATGTGTGTACATGTGCCACAGTAGCATGCGCATATGTAAAATAGAATTCACACACTACATTTAGCCTGGTGCCAAGTCTGTTTCAGGTTTGGTTCATTTCTATCGTTTTATTCCCTATCTGTGCATGTAGCAGTGAAACAAGATAAGAATACAATGTAAAAAGGAAAATATTAGCAGAGGGTAAAAGTAAAAAGATAACATTTATATTATTTGCTAGCAGCAATAAACAAATGACTACTGCATTCACTTTGTGTAAGTTTCCAAGGTAACTTTTTCTCACTGAATCTATCTTCCTGTAAGGTAACTGTATCGGTAGACTCTGATAAGAAAGTATTCATTCTCCCATGTTAACTTCTCTTAATAAAAAAAAAAAAAAAAACATATTTTACCTGTCTGATGATTTTACTTGTGTCTAGCGGGAAAAACAGCTCAGAGTAGGGCCTCCGCATTGGCACAAGGTAGCACTGCTCAGGATGCTCACCCAAAGTGCAATAGGTTTGTTCATATTGAACTATTGTCACATTACATATGAGGACCGTTCCTTGAACACTGCAGCCCCTGCTTCCTCCCCAGCCAGCACAGCTGGGGTAGCACCACTGATTGCAGTTACATTCACATCTGCTACAACCAAACATAAAAAAAAACAAAAAAAAACAGAAATGCATAAATATTAAAATTATCAAAACACGACGATTCCCTTCTACGTTTTCTCATATGATTGATTCGACTCATTTTTTCCCCTTTATTTCTTTTTTTTCTTTCGTTTTGATTTTTTGCTCTGATGAGCTGGATTTGCCCTTTTTTGACCTTTTTTTTCTGTGTTGCTTTTTTGCTTTGCCATGTGGCAGAGGTGTTTCTGTTTTACGGCTAGATGAATGTCCCTTCTCTGACTTTGTTGAGAGACTGGTTGCATCCGTCTTGTCTTCAGATTTTTCCGATATTGAACTCAGCAGGGTTGAACTTTTTATACTAAGACTCTGTAAAAATCAGAGACACATTCATCTCAGACAGCTCAACGATCAACATAAAACAACTAAAAGCCTCTACTTTTAACACAATCTTTTTAAGAGGAAAATCTGGCACCATCTAGTGGTGATTCGGTGTCAAATGCAATATGAAAGACTAAGGCAAATGAGGACAGCTACATATCAGAAGATATTGGCAGTTTCAAGCTAAAAAAATCAAATATGTGACATAATAAGCACGAAACAATGAAGACTTAAATAGAAACTGAACTGAAAGGATCTGGCAGTTTAACAAACCTTTGTAGTGCTGTTGTCTCAAAGCTGTCAAGGTAAATTACAATGCCTCGCAAAAGTATTCATATCCCTTACGAAAAACACGCTGACATCCAGCTCTGTTGCCTGGGTTTGAATCCCGGGTTAGGGTCTTTCTATATGGAGTTTGCACTCCATATAGAGTGCAAGTGTGAGTTCATCCAAAGTACAAAACATGACTGCTAGTCGGTCTCTCTAAATTGTCCTTAGATGTGGGTGTGCATGTTATTTTTGTTGTGTGTCTGTGTCTGTGTTGCCCTGTGAACGACTGGCAACCTGTCCAGGGTTTACCCCGCCTCTCAGCCAATGATCACTGGAGATAGGCACCAGTCCCCCAGTGACCCATGATGGATGAATGAATGGATGGACTTTAACATCATACAACCATTAAATTAAATTTATTTTTCAATGGGACACTAGGCTTTCAAACATTTTTTAACCAATAAAAGCATTTAGTTGTTTATCCCCCGTCATAGGTATATGCCTAAAAAAAACTATTTGCTTATGCCACCTTCTTAGTGAATGCAGCCAACCACAGCAAAATTGAGTCTCAGTAGAAGTAAAGGTATTTTGTGAAGGCCTAAAGGTTTTGCTAGATAACATTAGTGAACGAATTGCATCCTGAAGACCAAGGGGCAAACCACACAGAGCTAGGATAAAGCTGCAGAGAACCTTAAAGCAGGGCTAGGTTTTAGAATAGCATCTAAAGCTTTGAACACAGAGCACTACTCATTACGATCATCTAAAAATGGAAAGAGAATGACCCTGGTGTAAGCCTACAAAATCATGACAGTGCACCTAAACTATAAAGACAAGCATTAATCAGAGAGAGCTTTTTTTTAAAAAAAGAGTGGCTTTAAAAAAAAAAAAAAAAAAAAACACTATTGAAGGAAAGCAAATGTGGAAGAAGGTGTTCTGGTCAGATAAAACCAAAATTGAACTCCAACAGTGCGTAACACTCTGAACGAAGCAGGTCTACAGTGTGATATACTGCTGGCAGTATAATGCTGAGGGGATGCTTATTTTCAGATGGAACAGCACAGTTAGTCAGAAATGGTGGAGAGACAAGCTAAACATAGACCAACCCTAGAATAGAGTACTATGTGCTGCCGAGGATGTTTTTAAATGGCCCAGTCAAAGTCCACACATTAATCAAATTGAGACAACAGAAAATGACATTGGCGCTTGTGCTGGTTTACATGAAAGCACAAAATTGGGCAAAATTGGGCAAGAATAAGTCCCAATACCAGCAATACTGGTACAAAGGGATCTGAAAAACATTCTCTATAAACATTTTTCAGTATTAGTTTAATAAAAAGGTATAATTTTTCTTTCACTTTGCAAATATTCACTACTTTGTGTTGGTCTATCACATAAAATCCCAGATCTAATCTAAAAGAGTGTAAGAGGTATGAATACTTTGCACAGCACTGTGTATGACAGCACAAACAGCATTAGCTATCACAAACAGCCCTTGAACACATGAGAGGTTTCTTAAATGGACAGTGTTGCACAGTTGTGTTAAACAGACAAACAGTACCAGCTTGGTGGATGTGGACGGTCTGGAGGTGCTTCTCTCAGGGGAAATCTTTACTTTTGAACCTTTTGAGGGTTGAACCTTCGCTTTTGCAGCTTTTGTGGACTCACAAGGGCTGCTTTTCTTTGAGGGCAAGCAGATAATGTCCAGGCCTGGCACCTCATCGTCCTCCGAAGAGGTGGACACAGAGTCATTCTCAGTCTCATTTTCTTCTGAAAAAAGATATCAATCAGCAATAGGACGTCTACACTGCAAAAACACAAAATCTTATCAAGTATCTTTGTTGTAGTTTTTAGTAAAAATATCTTCCTACACTTGAAATTAGACAAAACTGACTTTCCAGCAAGATACGAGCCTTAATTATTAAGATGAAGCCTTAATATTGACCAAAAGTACTAGTTCCGCCGGCAGATGTTATAAGTGAAATAATCTGCCAGCGGAAATAGTACATTTTATTAATATTAAGAAATTACTGACTTCAAGCCAGCTCTTATGTCTTGATAGAACGTTTATTGTAAGTTAGTTTCTTATGTCAAGTGTACTAAGGTATCTGCACTAGAAACTAGACCAGAAATACTAATAATTTTGTGGTTTTGCAATGTAATTTTCACACTGAGCTATTTGAGAACATAAAAGTTTCCTGCATATTTATATGATAGTTACATTTCATATTTTATTTGAGCAAGTGGTAAGGTCAGTTTTTTAACTGTAAGTATAGCCAAGCAAATCAGTCATAAGTTTTGCTATGACATTTTTCAAGTTTTTAATTGTTTTCATTTAAAAAAAAGAGGAGAAATACAAATCCACAGAAGGATTTAGTTCAACAAAATTGTTCATATTATTATGAACCTTAAAGCCTTAAAGGCTTAGGATTATGACAGAAATTTCTGATTATGAATTTGAGAATTTATGCTCAGCTGATTGCTTAACACTTATGAAGACTTCAAAATTAAATCTGCTCCAGAATTATTTCATCTTCCACACACTAAAAATGCACTAATAAACATGTTTTGTCCAGTCTGATCCATTCCACAACATTTACCTAATGTGAGTTACTGGAAGATTTTGATCATAGCTTGGAAAGAACAACATTTGAATTCATTATTACCGTCTTCGTTTCCCACATAGTGTTTCATCATCTCCAACACGTTGCTCGGGCCCAAAGGCACAGTTGTGTCACCCTGTTGGTAAAGTCTCCCATAAGACCTCTTTGCGTCGGTCACTTAAAGTTCAGAAATACAGAAGAGGAGCCGGTGCCCTACTGTAATCCAGGGATGATCTAGCAGTTGATGAGCAGACAAGCGGTAAGCAGGGTCAGTCTTCAGAAGGCAAGTCAGGACATATTTTCCTGTTGAGGCAGAAACCAGTTGGCTAAAGTGGGTATTGTTGAACCTTTGTTAACAGTGACGTATAAGATAAAATTTCACCTCCATCACTAACTGTGGCCCAAACGGGTTGAGTAAATTTTACTTGCTTGCGCATAATTTTCCTGACCAGTCTCTCCTTTGATTTGGAATGAAATGGAGGCTCTCCACAAAGCCTACATGGAGACATATTTCAGCCATGTCTTCATCTAATTCATGGTGATTAGGAAGTAGTTGAAGTGTGCCTACTTACAGCATAAACATAATGACTCCGATGCTCCATACATCACACCAATGGCTGTAACCGCGGCCACTCATCATTTCAGGGGCTGAAAATCACACACGAATGGCTTTTTTTGTTTTGTTTTGTTTTTTTCAGTTACAGAAACCTTGGGACCAAAACATACACATTAAAACACTTCTGAGTAGTAATGATGCTTTGAAGCTGCTTCTAGAAAAAATACTAAGCTGTAGTTCTAGACGCGTGATGTGGTGAAACTACAACAGAATTGCAGAATTTGACAAATCAGATGAAGTCTGCCACCTAGATGCATCCACTGGAATGTGGTGAAACTTGTACACTTTGTTGGACATCTCTTTTGTTTTCCTTAAAAATGTGAGTGTTTTATCTTTTATACTGACATTCACAGTCAGCCTAGGACAGACTAGTGTCTGCTATAACACTAGTAATAAATGATTACAAAGTTCAAAGCCAACAACTTAGTTTATGAAGTAGGCGAACAACTCCTGTAGGTCCTGTCTGGACAAAAATAGATGGAAATCCAAAGAAGAATTATTACAAGCCAATGTATCAACAAGTCATATAACTTGTTGATACATTAAGCATATATACTTGCAAACAGCCACATACAAGTAAATAAAAAAATATGACTTTGTTTCAATATCATCCAAACAACTTTGTAAAAAAAGTCTTTAGCAGTAGTTGTATATATTCAACATAATTTATTGAGCATAATATGGTAAATATTACTTATAAAGAGGATACCCATATAGAGGAGAGTCCCACAGGAATCCGTCAATACCTTCCTAATCCCAACACCGTCTGCCTTCACCGACAGTCCAAAGTCTGCCACCTAGGTGCACAACAGCACTTAAGAAAAAGGTATTTCAATAAATGTCTCAGGTCTCTTGTTTTTGGTACTACAGCATGCAGAACTTATAAATAAACTACACTCAAACACACTTCCTATTCTTAATGTGTTTATAATTGTGTACGTGAGCAGAAAAAATAGACTAAGAAACTACCTCCTCTTTGCCTCAGCTATCAACTGTATGTTTTATGAGTTCAGACAAAATAATGTTATTTGATGATTATGTGCTGGGAAACAACTTAATCTTTGTGAGAATTTGGGTATCAAAAAAGACATTAAATCAGGCCTTTACCGATATTAAGATTGGTTAAATAAAATGGGTCCTGACGAAGCTTTCTTTAATTTCATGGAGAGAAAGGAAACCGTGATGAAACATTTAATTACATGTTTATATCAAAACTTTACCTTAATGTCAAACCAGTCCTCATTATCATCAGGAGAATTCTTCACAAGAATGTTTTCAAGTTTCAGGTCCCGGTGCACTATATCTGCAAAGGAAAACTAGAGATTAGAAAGAAGAAACCTCTTTTTATTCAATGTTAACCTTATTTACTTATTGTACCACTCTAATGCAAATAGAGTGGTGCAATACAAAATGCATGAATAATAAATACAAAAAACATGTAAAAAAACAAAAAAAAAAAAAAAAAAAAAAATATATATATATATATATATATATATATATATATATATATATATATATATAATCCCTTTTTTCAACAATTTTCGAATAATCAAAATACACTTTGCATTTTCTGTCTATTACATTATCTGTCTAAGCCTTGTCCATAAACTATATTCACACACCACTGTTAGTCTGCTAAATATACATCACCTCTTTTATGAAGGTAGACGACTGCATCAGCTAAACAATATATAATTTTTCTCGTTTCATCCTCTGTAAAGAATTTTTTTTGATGGAGCTGCTGCTTCAGGGTGCCTCCTCTGCAGAGCTCAGTGACCAGACAAATCTTCTGGGAACAACATGGGAAACGAGGTCATTTCAGTTCAGCAGGACGCAGTAGTAAAAGAGAAGCATTATCAGTCGTACGTTTGACGAGAATTTATGTTGAGATCGAGACCCGAGGAAAAGCAATCATTACCGTAGGTGTATTGTAGGTTACTTCAAGATGTATTATGTGGGCGTGGTCTACTTGCTTGAGGATGTTTATTTCGTTATCCAACATCTTAAACTTTGAACTTCCTGCCTGTGACGAAAGTTGTGACAGAATACAAAAAGTATAGAAGAATTGATTGCTCTTGTTTAACAGGTATAACTTTTTAATCAGAAAATGCAGGACTCACCGCTGGTTTGCGAACCTCCTTTATCGCCCATTTTGTTTGTGTCGCGATGTGAGTGGCTTCATAAACAATTCCAAAACTTCCTTGACCCAATGTCTTTCCAAATTCATAAATTTTCTGAGTGGAATTAAAAAAAAAATAAATAAATAAAAAAAAAGGAAAACATTAATGCATTTGTAGCAAACTGTCAATAGCTCAGTCTGTGATTAGGACTCTGAAAGCCAAACACTTTCACCTTAACTTTGATGCATGGCCTAATTTGAGGTGATCCAAAAAAACATGCCAGATTTCTAGTCTCTAGAGCCGCAGAATATAGTATTTTTAATCAACTCACAAATGATTAAGTTGCTGCTGCAGTTCATTCAATCTCAGGTCTAATTAACTTGATTATTATCTGTGTGCATGCAAGACTGAGCACTGGCTGCTTTGCATGTGGCAAACAGAGCGGTCAAATTCCCCAAAGAAAGCGGCCTTGGCAAAAGAAAGTAGAGATTGAAGTTCTTCTGGAGCAATTCGAGTTAATTGTTTCAGTCACACAAACACACACAACCATTAGAGCCGCACAATATGTCACACATTTACCATCATTGCGGTATCAGTGCATGAAATATCAGTATTGTAAGAACTAATTGGTTCACAATAAATTTTCCTTTTTCATACCATACATTCATGCAGTAAATATAACCATCCACCCATCCATCCATTTTCTTTACACCCTTGTCCCTTAGTAGGGTCGGGAGAGATGCTGGTGCCCATCTCCAGCTAACGTTCTGGGCGAGAGGCGGGGCTCACCCTGGACAGGTCGCCAGTCTGTCGCAGGGCGTAAATATAACCAGTAATATGTTTAGTAGTATTTGTTTAACGCAGAAAAAGAAGGTATTCTGCGAAAGTCAAAAAGAAAATATATTGCAAGTTTTTCAATGAAAAGACTTTCCTGAAATGAAAATAACGAATTTCATTTTCTTTCAATACTTGATTAGACTCCCAGCTATCAGAGGTTTATGTTTGCAAAGGACTCAAAGCACAAAGGCTTCAACATTATAAATTCAAATTGGATTAATTATCACAAATCATATTGTCATTGCAATGTGGCCTACAGTATAACATGTCACATTTTTTCCAGACATCATGCAGCTCTTACCATGTCACTAAGACTTGTAAACAAAAACTCTCCTTACCCAGAGTTCTGAATCCGCTTGGAGGCGTATAACAGGAACCTCCCTGTTAGATGTAGCACCAGGGGTCGCTGTCGACCGATAACTCATGCCTTCCTTAATAACATCTGCTTATATCCTACATTAAAAAAAACAAGAAGGTATGAAGTAAAATGTTATGTTCAAAAGACTAAATTCAATGGTTTTCCAAACACAATAAATAACTGTTTAAATAACTGTTTTCAAATTTAACCAAAAGCCAACAGCAGCATGACTCAACAACATCCAAGAAATGCCACCTTTAGTCTTTATTTCTCTGAAAGCCTGACTGTTGCCTCTGCTTAAGCCTATACCCAGATAGCACAGAATGATTGAAACAACATTGAATCAATGTCAGCCAGAAACATTGAATCAACGTTGAAC